TGTGAAGGTAACAGTGTTCCATAGCCTTCAGCTTTTAGTTATGCTGGCAACATGACCACAGAGATGTCTTTGGACAGCACTGGCTCTTGGGCTTTGAAACGGAGATGAACACCGCCCCCTAGAGTCAGGAATGACTAGCACATATATGTGAGGGGAACCTTTACGTTTTACCTTTAAAGTATTTGAAATGGGATGCCTTTTGACAAATGACAAATTAATCAGATAAAGTTTCTCAAGCCAAGGAATTTAACATCCCCCTTAAAAGATTCTTAAAAGTTTGAATAATACATTTTGAGACTGGATGTTCATGATTGCTTATCCAAAATTAACTGTTTATATTATTAATTATCAGTAGGGTTAATTTCTTATTCTATTTAAATTGATATATAGCTGTATGCTGTGGGTCAATAATGAGCTATTTCTAAAGACAAAGGGAATAATATTAGTTAGAGATTACTTAATTTTAGCAACTAACACATAGTTTCTTTTGTATCACAGTTGAAAGTAACATAGTTGTGCATGAAATGCCATAATGTTTCACTTATTTCTTTGCATACCATCTTTGGTCATTTACAAATAATGTATTTTCATTCTTTTCTGCACTTCACAGAGGAAATATTCTGTTTTTTCAACCTCACCTTGGTAACCAAGATCACTCTTGCAGTATCCCTTAAACACAGGTGAAGACTTTTACTTCCTCTGTATTAAAACTGGTATATTCTTTACAGGATTTAATCTCACAATGTCTCCAAGTGTATTCATTACTGAATAGCGGCAACTCAAGCCTGTTAACTGATATTTGAATGTTGGTAGTTACTGCTTTATTGCAAAAGGAGAATCCCAGGTGTTCTGAAAGAGACATTGGTGTGACAGTCTTATGAAACTCTTTTTAATGCAGATGTTTTTTTTAATAATCACGACCAAATTGATAACATTTATGTTTCTTAGACAAAACCTCAAAAGTGGTGATTGCTCACCTCTATTAGGAGAAATAGAATGCTTAGATTTATCTCTAGCTTGAAATAACTCACAAAATGTTGTTTGTACTAATGTGTCTCCTGAAAAGCAAGGAAACTGTTGATTCTCCTTGATCACTCACCATCTCCCTTGTCCCTTGTCCACTTGTCCCTTGTCCTCTTGTCCTTGCAGTTTATAGCACATGTAGGGCCACTGAGAGTAATTGCTTGAACAAGACTAATTTGGGCCCCTTCACCCATACATGGACACATACATCAATAATGTCATAATTGTACATTTATTAATTACATTCAAATGTACTTGCAAATATATTAAACATATATTTATCCTCCTGTTTTGTCAGTGAAGGGAAGCCCTGCCCTAAACATCAAAAGCACATTTTTTTCTCCATTTTTTTGACATCCTTCCTAAAGATTTACTATTCCACATTGCCTTTGACTTTAACTCTTCCTTCAAACCTTAATTACAATCAACTAATATGCTGAATTTTCCTCCCCTCTTTTGTTCTTCCTTGTTTACTGTCTATTTGGGATGGTAAGATCCAGATTCCATCCCTGCT